CTCTCTCTCTCTCTCTCTCTCTCTCTCTCTCTCTCTCTCTCTCTCTCTCTCTCCAGCTCTCCGCCTTTCCTTCCATCTCTCTCTCTCCGCCGCCATCCTCCCTCCCTCACCCCTTTAGGTCATACTCCCCATTACCCTCTGGAGATATGTTAAGCTTGTTAAGAGTTCAGTGGGGTAATTTTTCGATTAAACAAAATTCTGCACACCTCCTGACTCCAGTGCCCACTACAAACCCTGCCCATCTCAGGGGAAGTCAATTTAACTGAAACCCTACCCCGTCATTGCAGTTATTACTGCGACAATTAAGGCAAATAGGAAACCATTAAGATGCTGTAAAATGGCTTACGACCTGTTTACCGAAAATATGAGCGCGCAGAGAATAATTGGCCCTCCGCTCACTAATATGAAAGAGCGGGGGCAGCCCCAGCCTCGGACCTGGGTCTGCACTGCTGGCAGTGCCCCTGGCCCACACCTGAAACTTCAGGATTGGGAGAAAACCGCTTCACTGGAGAGCTTCCCTCTGCCTTCTGCTACAGTGAGCATCAGCAAATCTAAAACTCCAAAACCACACTCCCGGCTGGATCCGGGCGGGAACCTAGGGGCTCTAACTAACCCCCTGGGGTCGGAAAGAGGTGAGCATGGGGTGGCGAAATGGAGCTGCCCCTCTTCATGTACTTTGGTTCCCCTGGAGAAGCTAAAAAAGGGCAGGCCTGGGTGCCAAGCGACACCACATCATTTTCTTCTTTTGAATTACACATGTGATAAATGCAGAAAAGCAGGTCGGCAGGTTAGCTATTTGACAGACACAATTGTTTTAAAATTTATTTTCTTTTCTAAAGGTAACGAAGGGACTGGATGAAAGAGGAGAGGACCAAGTTTAGCTCAGGGGATGATCAAGTTCAGTGCCTTTGCCCCGCATTAAATCTACTCTTTTCCGTTTCTGATTAGGAGACAGTTTGGCAATTAATGGCTAGACCAACTACACTTGCGAGTTGGCTCGGGCCTCCTGAACACTGAGCGATTTCTCCTCCGGTTCAAAGGGGCAGACAGCTTTCCGCTGCTACTAAAATGCACGTTGAAAAGCCGCACACGCCTCATGCGAAGGTGCTGCTCGAGCTTTGACAAGCCCAACGCTAGGCAAGCACCCATCTCTTTCTCCCTCCCCGCTGGGAAAAGTTTGCCCTAACCGTGGCTCCTCGCCGAGCCAGACCTAAGCCTTGGTGGGGGAGAGGAAGGCCCCCAGCCGGGCCGGCGCCCCAGGTAGGATGAATAAGCTGGGCTTCAGAGGCCCAATCATCTCACAGGTACATCTTTCCCCCAAAAAAACCCCGGCGAGTGGGAAGTGGAGCGTAACTAGGAGGAAAACCCGGGTTGGACAGCCGTCCAAAGAGAAAAATTCCCCCAGCTGTTCCGTCTACTGCCTGCCAGACTTCCAGCAATCAATGCCAGCCCCTGTGAACCCGCGTACATTAAACCAACACTGGGTTTAATGTGTGTGGAGGGAGAGAGGGCAGCGATGAGAAGGGAAGATTATGGCCGGTGCCTCCACAGTTGTACAGATACCAAACACTGCCCCGTTTTGACTTCCTTCGGTTATTTCAGGAGTCCTCAAATGACAGAACTCGGATCTTTTTAACGGCCTTCTCCGCAGGCACGGGCAGCTTTACTGCGAACTGCGTTAACTGATACCCAGTAGGCGCCCGGGGCATCAGGCAGGGATGGTGATCGCACCACACTGCGGCCCAAAATAGCCCCTGTTTAGCTCTGGCGGCGAGGGCCGGCAGCGCTTCCTGCGCCTCGCCTGGGACCTGGCCCGGACTCCGGACCGTAGCGCCCGGGGCCCTGAGTGTGTGCACAAGGGTGTGCACGTCTCCAAGGTGGCGTGTTCGGGAGGCCTTTGGAAAGGCCGTTTCTTTTTCTCTAACTAAAACTCGTAATTTGAAAAACTTAAACTGGAGAGACCTTGGGAAGGACTAAAAACAAAAAACATCCCAGTCTAAACTTAAGGCCCGGAGTAGGAGGGAGGGGGGGAGTAGTTTTTGGTCAACGGGGTGGGTGCCTTGGGAGGGCGCGCCTGGGTAGAGTCCAGGAGCAGAGTCCCTGCCCCAGCCCGGGGCCCCTGCCCGCCCACCTTCCCTCTCCCGGACCCACTCGCTCCCTCCAGCCGCTGCCGTTGCGACCACCCCTCGCGCGTACCTGGTGAAGACGTCTGGGTAGTGCGTCTTCTGGAAGGCCCGCTCCAGTTCCTCCAGCTGGTAACTGGTGAACGTGGTGCGGTAGCGCCGCTGTTTGCGCTTCAGCAGCCCCTCCTCTGAGTCGCTGCCCGCAGACAGGCACACGCTATCCTCGCCGTCCTTGCCCTCAGCGTCCTCTGGGTGCAGCAGCAGCTCCTCCTTGGGCGACAGCTCCCCGCCTTCAGCGGCCACCGCGGCGGCAGCGGCGGTGGCCACCGCTCCAGTGGCGGCCACGGCGCAGCGCCGCGGTTCCTTGATCAGCGCGCGGGCGTCGTCCTCCAGCAGCTCCTCCTCGTCGTCTTCCAGCAGCTCCTCTTCCTCGTCCTCGTCCTCTTCATCCTCCAGCAGCTCCTCCTCCTCGTCCTCGGCGCCCGTGCCGCTACTCGCCGCCGGGGCGCCGCCGGGGCCACCGGCCGCGCCGAGGCGCTCGTCCGGGTGCGCGGCGCCCCCCGGGCCGCCCAGCTCGTCCAGCGCGGGCGGTGGCGGCACGAAGGGCGCCCCGTTTTCGCGGTACGACTTGCTGCGGCTGATGCTCACCTGCGGTGCCTGGCTGATCTTGAGCGTGTCCCAGGCTGCGGCGGCCGCGGCCGCGGC